ATTGGTTTACGTATAAACATTGATTGTAAATACTAATATACGTATAACGGTATAACACTATAACGTAATATACGGGATYTATAAATAGACAAAAAGAAATACCGGGCTTGCGTCCGTTCTGATATTTGAGTAGGTATTTCGTTATCACTTATCAGTCGTCTATTATTGACTATTATATTATAGATTAAAAATTAGAAAAGTAAACAAAATTTTTCTCACAAAATGTTTTTTAAAACATTTGTGAAAAGAACAAAATAATTATAATATTTACTACGTTCCTATTCCTAAAAATAAGGAATTAATTCACGTTCCTATTCCTTTAAAAAAGAATGGAATTCATTAATTCCTTCGTTCCTCTAAAATGGAACAAAAACACTGAAAAACGTACGACTTTGGAATTGGTCGAATTAAATAATTCGAATTTTAATCGTGTTTTTAAAAACGCAAATACCTAGATATTATTCACCAATTGAATTGTGTCAGTTTGTACAGCGTGGCTTGGATTCTACTCAATGTGACACTTTACAACCGAATATACATATTGGTATATATCCTGTGCATAAAATGACAACAACTTCAAATACAGTAGTACCACAAGATTACACTGATGTAGAATGTACATGGGACATATTTACTGAAATGGAAGTTGCTTTTGGTTTTCCAAATCATTTTACTCAATTCGACGAACCTCATATATTACCTGAGCATACATTATACACTTTCAATTCCAATGATGATTATTATTATCACAAAGGGTTATCGTCATTTGATAATTGATATATAACACCTATACACACCACTACAACACCTCCATTAAAAACGGTGCCGACTGCCACTTATATGTGCGTAGTCTATCGGCGAACAAAGGATCGTTACAAATTGATAAATAATTATTAGTAAGTAAAATAATAGGTGGTCCTTGTAAAGGTTGATCTCCTTTATATTTAACATGAACACGTGTGGTATCACCACCTWATAACTCTTTCATTTTTTTGATATGATATTGTTCATAATTTGGTTCGTTCCAAATTACAATTCGTTTGCCCGCACCGTCAGCCCAAGTAAAATTATTATTTTTATTAGCCGTACCGAAYATACCGTAATTAATGAAAAAAGACGMTACTGCATCAAAAAAATAATTTTTTCCCGCGGATGGCGCGCTATATATACACAAAGAATTTAGTTTTGGAATATTTTTATCAACTATATTATACAATGTTTGTAAAAAATTAAATACATCATTTTTATTATTTTGAAATTGATACATTAAAAGTTCATTAGCAACATTAATCGATTTTTCGACGGAATAATATATATTAGTTTCTGTGCGCGCATAACCATTAAAATATGGTTTAACTCCAGTTGTATGATAATATGTATTAAAATCAAAAATATTCCAACCACGTAATATCAAACACCAATTTCTTAATGCTATTCGGACACACCTATCATTTTCTTCTAATTTGTTTAAATAAGGATTATATACAAACTCGTCAATATTAATAAATGCATCAGGGGGACATGTAGGATAATATTTAAGAAGATCTTCGATATTCATAGGAAACTTGTATTCGCTGTCGACTCCGTTTTCCTGTTGGGCTGTCTTGAGACGTCGTCCAATATGCCCCCTGCCACCCGCATCGCCACTGCGTAATGCGGACTTCCTTCCGAAAATGTCCCAAGAGCCCGAGTCGAGGCATGTTTCCACCAGTCCTTCTTTTGAATGTATTGAATTTTCTGACGACTAAAAATATACATAAAAAAAAAWATATATATATAAATGTATAAAATATAATAACTAAATATATAATTAATGTTATATATAAATATTACATATTTTGACTTACGGAAAGATTTCTAATTTGATTATATAATCTTTCATCGGCACCTGGGAGACACACTTTTTTTGCGATGCGCCCGTTTGTACAAAAATATCGCACAATRGCCTCCCAGTCGCTACTTCCGAGGTTGCACACATAAATGCGTCCTCGAATGTGTTTACGTCTATATTTTCGGAAATCTGTACATCGTTGGATCCATGCGCAACGGCTGCAAGCTTGGTTTGCCTGATTACAGGCGTGGGCGATGTGGACATGATCGTTGTGTTGTGAGACRATAATGAATGGCTGGACGCGGTAGAACTCGATATACCTAAAAAATTTAATATTATTATAATGTAAAATTAAAAAATAAAATGTAATATTCACCTGCATATGTCATCAATGAATCGAATAATTCCATCGCGTCCAGGTGGCACAACAACATCGGAGACGTATGCCACATTTCCGTGCCAACTGTAATTAACACATTTATCGGCAGCTCGCTGTTCGTATCCTCTGTCGTAAAGTGGTCAACAGTTTTGTATAATTCTCGATCACTGGACTGAAGTTGGTAGTTTCCATTTCCTCCATCGCCGTCACTGTCTCCTGTATATAACTCGTCCATTTCTTCGGGTGTAGACTATAAAATAAAATAAAATAATAAATTATTTGACACATAAGTAAAATTAATCAATAATTACACTTCGTTGAACTGTTTCTTCAYTGTAATAGCTAACATCAACACAATGAGTCAATGACAGTTAGTGGGTAAAACATAGGCACATCCTCTGTTACTTGTATGTCGTACACTATCGTCATCAATTCGAAAAAAGTCCCCGAATCCCGGAGATTTTTGCCGATATTCATTTTCACCAATTTTTCTAATTGAACTATCGGTAATTTCAATAACTCCTGTCTCCTTTGCTCCCCCTTCGAAATCTGATTCGTCGGAGTATCTTGGATCGTCACAACTGGAACCATCGGAGTCTCCATATTCGTCTTTTGACTTTGTTTTTGTTTTTTTTGTTGTACATCGCAATTCTAAATTTTGTTGTACCTGATTGATATTGCGCTTTATCGTAACTTTTGCGTTTTTCAGTTGTTGCTCCTTCTCCATTTATTTCTCCKACTTCTMTAAAAAATCTACTAAGGCTGATGTTGGTTTGAATATTTGACTGCATTCCGGTAAATCAGTGTGATTGAAATATCCAGATTCGAAATCGCTATTGTGCTGCATTATAAATAATTTAKTATAACGAAAATAAAATAAAAATATTAAATATTATTACGTCAAGAATAAGTTACGTAGTACCTAATATATAAAACCACACTGAAATTACGACGACGACAARYCGTATTKTATATTAAATTTGTACAAAGGTATATACATATATTTAACATAGACAACAAAKTCAGAGATCAGCAGATTAAGTAGAACAACGTACATTATTTAAATAAATAGGTGTTGCATAACAAACAACGTAATGTTATTGTTATTACTACTAATATTATATATATATATATATATTGTGATTAAAAAATCGAGCTTGGTGCTTGCCCAAAATATAAATGTACATTTATATTTCCGACTACTACAACTACGAAGACAGGCGCGGGACCCATCCCGCCCCATACGCAGTCATATACAAGTCGTATAATAGGTATAGGTRTCTATATATTATACTATATATGTCACGTTTTATTCGTAAATTACACTCAATCTTGACCAYCTTTCGTATTTTTTTTATTTTTTTTTCTTTCAGCTCTATACCAATATTATATAATTACAAACACGTTTAATTATCCGGGTATGGGAGTTTAAATTATAAAAACTGTTCAACACATTTTCGATTTTAAAGAATATTTGATAGAAMATTTTTTAAATTAAAAATAAAATATATATTATTAATCATCATCATAAAAATGTGTGGTATTGACATAATTTTATTTGTATAGACTAATAGACTACCAGTGATCACGTATAGAACATGGCCTAAGTCAAATTCTATGTGACCCAACATGGACCAATCCACCTTTAATTGTTCATTTATGGCAGAAAAATATTTTTGATATTATAAAAAAAGTTATGGTTTCAAAATAATGTATATTTATCATTAGATGCGGTTAATTTCCATAAGTTTCTGAATGTATGTCGTATTTGTATGTATAGTGATAAAAAGGATAAAAACTGATAATCGAAAATATTGTCACTAAACTTAGGTAGGTACCTACTCGAGTAAATTACACTATAAAGTATAAAGTCACTATGATCATTACCCACAGGTCATTAAAAGCAAATGATAAAGTGATTTGCAGTACAAAAAAAACAATGTTTATTTAGGTTTAAATATAGTTTTAGATTTTTGACCAAGGAATAAAAGGACATTCAAAGGAGTTAGTTAGTAGCAGCAAGACTCATGCTTTGACGACAAGTGTATAAAAATATTTTACTACCTATATAGTATATATATATATTGTAATTGTTTATAATTTATATATGTATACAGTGTATTTTGTATTTTTCCAACAAAAGGCTTCTTTCCACCAGAGAACCTGTCAAAAACACAGTGCGTAGTATAAAGAGGAAAAACCCGTTTGTGACGATTTATTACAACACACGATACTTTTGTGTAAGTGATAAAATATTGCATTTTATGACTGGCTGTGATTAAAATCAACAATATTTTCTTCTGAAATTTTATTTTATCGTTTAAATCGATGAATAAATCGATTAACATTTAACATAAA